TCTCAGTCCCAGGAGGGTGCTGGATGCACTCCGATGTGCCCCCCCAGCTGCACCCGTACCGGCGGGACCAGGGAGGGACGCCGGCCTCCTGGTGCCACGTGCTCACCCCCAGACAGCCCCAAGCCCCTGCCCACTGGGGGACGGGCTAGAAGCAGCACCCTCTCCATGGATCGGGGGAACACGACCCGAGAGAGGGTGAGCTATACTCCCCACAAGCACTGGGGTCCTCGATGGTACCCAGTACATCTGGCTTCTCTCACCCACAGCTCAACCGGGGTTTGGTGGCATGCAGGAGTTCTGGGCACACCTACCCTTCCCGCCCCCCCCATCCTGGAGGAGCAGGTAACATCTCACCGAGCACTGTGCTCTATAGTTTCCCCCCCAGGTCCAGGTCTGAGTTCTACACAACCACGGCCACTCAACACCAGCCAGTGCTGGAGATGGAGACCACATGCCCCTTCCCCACCCCTGTGCCCCCCTTTCCCCCTCCTCCGTGGAGAAGCTGGGCAGGCCCTCCCATGGATGGCAGCATGCTCTCAAATCCCCAGCTGCTATATCCTACACTCACACCCTTGTTTACAGGTGACCAAACTGAGGCCCAGAGAGGTTAGGCATCTTGCTCGAGAACACACAGCGGCAAGATCACGACTTTTCTCCACCTGACCCCCCTGCTAAAGATTAGGAACAGAGACCACCGATTCAAACGTGGCTCTGCCACACACCAGCTCGTGGCCTGCACCTTAGAGAAGCTGTCATAGAGATCCATCACATAAAGTGCCCAGAAGACTGTCAGGCCTGGGGTTAGGGACGCTCTTGCTATCGGTGCAGGGTTTTTTGTTTGTTTTTTTTTTTTTAACATTTATTCATTTTTGAGAGACGGCGAAGGGCAGAGAGAGGGAGACACAGAATCCGAAGCAGGCTCCAGGCTCTGAGCTGTCAGCACAGAGGCCGACGCGGGCCTCGAACCCAAAAGTGGTGAAATCATGACCTGAGCCGAAATGGGACGCTTAATCAACTGAGCCCCCGGATGCCCCTACCAGTGCATGTTAGAGAGCAAAGAGAGATTTCCTACCATGATCCTAAATTTACTGCTCACAAACCCCCAGAAAGAGCATGGCCTTAGGGATGAAACCATCCAAGCTCTGGCCCCGGCTCTGCTACGTAACTGAGGCCAGCCGTACCGCCTCTCTGTGCCTTAGTTTTTCTCAACAGGATGAAAGTGCAACGTGGGGAGACCATCGGGCCAATGTCCAGCACAACAGAGCGATTTCTAGGACTACTACCAATGGTTTTTTGTTTGTTTGTGTTTGTTTTTGCTTTTTTTTTTTGATAGGCCAGGGTTTCCTGTCTTCCAGCCTAACCACAGGGGACTTTGATCACAGAGCTTAAACATAATCACAACCCGGTTATAACTCAGGCGCCCGGCAATCTCAACAATAGCCCTCAGATGGCGACTGTCATTAGTGGAGAATTATGGGCCCAAAGTCTCCACCCAGCCCCTCCGTGCAGGCCACACGCAGACACCGAAGCCAAAAAAAACATGTTTTTTTTTTTTTTTTTAACTAGGGAAGCCCTCATTTTCTTCCTCCACCTCTGCTCGTAAAAGAAGTCAGAGCAACCTGCCTTTGAGCTCGCAAGTTAACCGATTACATTTCTTCCTCGACAGCCAGCTCTGAACCCCGGGCTGCGCTGGGCCTTAAACACGCTTTACGCTAAATGACCATCACCTTCAGGGACCCAGGCCTCCCCCCAGCCCCCATCCCTGTGTCCACAAGCCACACCTAACTGTCGAAAACTTGAACTCTTACCTTCCCTACATGCGGTATCTGCCAGATTCTGCCCTGGATGGAGACCCAATCAGAGTCCCCACTGCTATGCCACCAAAAGTGGCATATGCTATGCCACCAAGTAAAAAAAAAGATCTGAGCCCCACTGCAAGTCCAAAGAGCCCCGAAGCCGGCTTTCGGCTTCCCCACCCCAAAGGCCTTCCCTCAATCGCCACGTGAGTGGACAGATCTTCCTCAAGCGGCTTCCCACTGACACCCCTGTCTGGGCTGAGCCAACAGAAGCTGTTTCCCCAGCAAGTACATCTGTATTCCTCCCACTCCTCACTTCCACGGCCCACGACTCATCTCCCCCGATTCATTTTCAAGTTCTTCAAGCGCAGGGACGCTGCGCTCGGCTACTCGGCTACGCCCCCCGATGCCGTCAGAGCTCCCTCAGGGCAACAAGCGCGCACAAACATGGTCTCCTGTCCTCCCGGCGACAGATGCAGCAGCGGCCTCCAGGAAGGGAAGGAGGGAGAAACTCAGAGGAGTCACCAGGCCCTGCGGCCGGCCACCAGCGTCTTCCTTCCCAGCCGGCACGCGCTCTGCACCAACAGGTGCTCCCAAAACGCTCAGGTCCCCAACACGGCCACGCGGCAGGAGCCCCCCGCCCCCTCCTGACACACAGAGGGCCAAATACCAGAGGTGAGGGGCCAGGCGCCTATGTGAGGGGAAACCTACCCGCACCCAGAAAGGTGCAGCTGGCTGGAGACTACCACCGGGTGTGGGAACCCCATTTCCGCACACAGCTCGTGCCGATTGAGCTTCCAGAGGGAAACACCCAGACCTCAATGTGTAGAGAGCTGGAAGTCCACTGGGGCCCACGAGGTGGCGGGGTCCTCGACGGCACAGCCGCTAACAGGGGTCACTCCGTGGAGACATCAGGGGGGCCCCGTCTGTTCTCCGATGACACGGATGCCATCAATACCGGCCTGGGTTTGGTGCTGGCCTCTGGCACATCTGTATGTCGCTGTTACAGAGAAGATGGGCTGCGGGCTCCAGGCCTCCCCTGGCAACGGGGCTCTCTGGGATCTGATAGCACTTTGTTTCATTGCGCCTGAGCTACTATTCTGTTCTGTTCTGTCAAACAGCAAAAATGGTGATTCAGGAAAAGCGGGCCTGATTCTCCTCCTCGGTTCTGGCTGGTGAAGGTGTGGCCTGGGGAGCGCAGGGAAAGTCACGGGGAGCTGGCAGCCACTGGTCTCCTGACACCCACTCCTGGCTGGACTTGACTGATAAGAGGACGGCCCAGAGGGGGGCCTTGCGGCCCACCGGTCTGGAGAGAGACCACCTGGTTCTTCCTCCCTGAGGGGTCCCCCGTCCACCCCTGTAGAAGGCACAGAGTCGCCAGGCTGCCCCGGAGCCACAGCCAAGCCGGCCGCAACTTTGAAACTTTTCCCAATCAGTTTCCAGGAAATGCCTTTCCCTAGTGCAAACAGACAGACATCCTAAGGACAGTCCCTGCTCGTCCCCAGGCCACACCACCGGGACAGCCACACCCCACCAGCCAGGGCAGCTGAGAGGGAAGAAGGGCAGAGGAGTCGGGACCCCCATCCCGAGGCCCTGACGACCCTTACCTCCTATCCCTGGAAACAGGCTGGCATCCCCTCCCCCCAGCAGGAGTCCAGTACTGCCCAGGCTGTGGAGGTTCGAGGCCCCCGCCCCACTGTCACAAGGTGCTACACCATCAACAGCACAGCTGAGGCAGGGGGAGGGCCAGCCAGGCCAGGCAGGGGCTTTCGAAGGTTAGCAGCAGGAAGGAAGGGCCAGGTGTCTGTGGCTCCCGGCTCTGAGGCGTCCAGGTGACAACTGCAACCCAGCACAGGGCAGGGCCGACAGCTGGAACACACTCACGCACCCGGACGGTGTGTCCTCCAATGGGCCCGAGGACACAAGTGGGATGGTCAGGGAAAGTGACTGCTTGGGGGCAGAGGGCACTGCCAGCCTCATCCCGGTGCTCTGATCTCTGTCCTGGGTGTGCCTGGCCAGCCTGAATCACCTCATCTAACCCTCAGCCACCCTCTCCCTTTACTGGGGGGGAAACTGAGGCACCAGGAGGCTCAACGCCTTCTTGCCCAAGGTCATAGAGCAGATGCATCACGGCAAGACTCCAAAGCCCTCTGTTAACTACCGCGTGGCCCTGCCCCTTTCTGACCCGCCAGGCCCAGACTTAACCTCCGGAGCTGGGCCACTCCTGGGGCTGAGAGGCAGCAGTCTAGAATTTTGCGAGTGGGAGAGGCTCAGAACTCTGTATTTCTTCCCCAACCTGCACAAGGAAGGGAAGAAGAGAAGCTCATCCCACAAAAGATCTCCCCGGAACTGAATTTTCCCTGCCCCTGGAAATTTGGGGCTGGCAACAGGCCCCAGATGAACCTGGCTTGCGGGGAGGAGCGGGGAGTGGGGGGAGTGTGGAGGGGTGCGGTGTCGGCTGAGGTCTCCAAGCCTGGGGCCTGCCGCTCCTCCAGCCACAGAGCCACTGTCAGGGTCAGGTGCGCCGGCCCGCCCGTCTCTGGTTCTCCTTCCTTCCCAGGTGCAGGCCTGGACAGGGGTGCGGGCACAGCTCTGAGCAGGGGGGACCCCAGGCTGGGGGCCGCCACCCTACACTCCACCTCCTGGCGTTCAGGCGCCCCTGGGTCCCAGCAGAGCCCCACTAGCTAGAAGTCACAAACAAAGGGAGAGCAGACAGGGCAGAAAGAAGGGCGCAGGGAGGGGGCGAGTGGCCACAACTTTTTGATGGGGTCGTTTCTGGGGTCGCAGGGGTCGCAAGGGTCGTGGGCTCCCACCTCCTCCTCTGTGCGCCCAGGGAGTGGGTCGAAGGACAACGTCCGCCAAGCCCCTGTCCCCACTTGGCCTCGGCGACCCCCGAACCGGCGACCAGCAACACCCCAGCCAGGGCCCCGCGCCCCCTCTCCCAGGCCGGCGGGTCGCCGAGAGCTGCGGGGCGCGCGCAGGAGGCGGGGGGGGTGGCCGTGACGCGCGCCCCGGAGCCGCGCGGGACCTGGGGGCGTGTGTGCGAGGCGCGCCCGCGCGGGGCCCTTCCCGCAGGGCCGCCGGCTCCGCGCGCGGGGGTGAGCGTGGCCAAACCGGCCGGGTCGCGCGGCTCGGCCGGCCCGTGCCCGGAGCGTGTCCGTGTGTCCGTGTGTCCGTGTGGGCGTCCGCGCGCGCGCCGCTTACCCTGCGCGGAGATCGGGGCCAACTCTCATTCACCCGCTGCCGCGGCGCCCCCCTTGCCGGCCGCGCGGCCGCGCTGCACCTGCCGCACGCCCGGGAGCCCAGCGGCGCCGGGGAGCCCGGAGGAGGCGGCCCCGCGGGTCCCGGCCACGAGCGCGGAGGCGGCGGCGGCGGCGGCGGCGGCGGCGGCGGCGCCAGGTCGCGCGCTCGCGTCCCGCTGCGCGGAGTCTGCGCGCCCCCGGCCCGGCCTGCGCAGCCGCCGCCCCGCCCCGCGCCCCGCCCCGCACGCCGCCCCGCCCCGCGCCCGGCCCCGCCCCGCGCCCGGCCCCGCCCCGCGCTCGGCCCCGCCCCGCGCGCCACCCGGCCCCTCCCGGCGCGGCCGGCTCGGGCGCTCGCGGGGGCGCGCCTGTGCCGGCGAGTCCGCGCGTGCGGGCGCGCTCAGTCACGCGGCGCCACCTTTGTTTGGGTGGCCCACGTGCGCGCCTGCCACCTGCGCGCACGCGCAGAGGCTCTTCCGCGCCGAGGCCCGCCAATCGCGGCCGCGGCCACGCGCTCCCGCGCTTCCGTCACGGCGGCACGCAGGGGCACGCACGCCGCTGTCACCCGCCCGAGGCCCGCGCGCCGGACCGCCAGGAGCCTCGCCGGGCCGCCAGTGGTTCCGAGATGGTGACTTTGCAGCCAGTCGCGACCCGCATCCTATAGGGAAACCCCACGGTGTAGGGGTGCACGGGCACCCCCTCCAGACCGCCAGCACCTCGCGGGGGCCCCCCCTATGCGCAGGGGTGCTGTCCAGCCTCAGGATCCGGGCCTCTGGGCTCGCCCCCAACGTCTCCGAGTCTCACCTTAGTCGCTGAAGGGAGCCCTGCTGCCACCTCCACCCTCACCACACACGGGGCAGGTCAGCAGAAGGGGGGGCACACTCAAGGCGCCCCTGCCCCTCGGTCTAGGACACGCCCTCCCCCCCCCCGGGAGAAACCTGCCCCCACCTGGGCTCCAGCGCCGGGGGCGTCTAGCTCACAGGCCGGTGCTCGCTGGACAGGCAAAGAACAATCCTCAGAACCCCAGGCCCTTCCTCCAGGTTGGGGGACCCCCGTCAGCTCCCCGCTCAGGTCTGACCAGGACGTGGCCACGGGAGACGGGACTGGGAGCCTCCCCTCTGCCTGGGCAACTCCCCGGGGGAGATTCGGGGTCCCTTTGCCGTTCCCCCAGCGTTCCCTGATGGCCCAGGGTCAGAGGCCGGCATCCGGGTGAGCTCCTAGCGGGAGGCTGTCCCTCCCTGTGACTCGGTTTCCTACCTGCCCAGTGGGGGTGAAGTGACTCCGGAGGGGCGAGCTCACGTAACCTTCCTTACCCTCACTCCCGCAGGCCTGCGCGCCCAGACCCAAGGCGCCCAGCGCCGCGAAGGCCCCGCCGAGCAGCCTGGCCAGAAACAAGCCGGCCTGGCAGCTGCCCGAGCCCTGCCCCCGCCGCGGGGACTGCTCCATTGTTGTCAGTCTCCCCCCCCTTCTCCCCACAGCCCACCTGGGGAAAGGTCCCGACCGGGAGTCCCTCCTCCCACCCCCACCCGCACCTCAGGACCTCGCCGGGCTGTGTGTCGTTGCAGCACCTCACTGTTCACAGGTGACAGAAATCCACTTCAAACTAGCCCAAAAGGCATCTATCTGCTCATGAAAGCGGGGGAGCCAAAGTGACAGCTCTGCACCCAAGCATGGCACAGAGCAGGTGCCCAAGGAACGTGTTTGAACGGACAGCCAGGCTTAGGGGGAGCAGGCAGGAGTTGGGGGGGAACCTGGGGAAGAAGGGGCGGGGTCGCAGCAGACAGCTGGGTCTGTCTCTCAGCCTCTGGAACCGAGAAGAAACAAAGCTCTGTCCGAGGCTGCCCCCGCTCCCCAGGTGTGGTGCTCAGGCCCCGCAAACGACAAGGGCACGGGCTCAGAGCAGCCACCTGGCCCTCAGGGCCACAGCGCAGGTGGTTGGCCAAGTGGGCATTGCCAACCCCTGAGCTGGGTTGGCAGCTCCAAGAAGGTGGCCTGGAGCCCCTCTCAGCCCCGGGGCCGGCTGGGCCCAGGGACCCGTCTCCTGGCCTCAGAGCCCCCGAGAGCATCCAGGGGACAAGTTGGCTGGATGCCCAAGTGAAACCCCGCATGACAAGCAAAACAAGGGGCGTTGGTGGCCACACGAAGGCCAGGAGGAAATGAGGGGGGGTCCTGGGCAACTTGCCTCAGGTCCCGCTGTGCCGTCCCCCCGACCCCCGCCCTGCTCCCGCTGTGCCCTCCCCCCACCCTACTCCCGCTGTGCCCATCCCTCCCACCCCCGCCCTGCTCCCGCTGTGCCCTCCCCCCACCCTACTCCCGCTGTGCCCTCCCCCCCACCCCTGCTCCCACTGTGCCCGTACCCCCCACCCCTGCCCTGCTCCCGCTGTGCCCTGCTCCCACTGTGCCCGTACCCCCCACCCCTGCCCTGCTCCCGCTGTGCCCGTCTCCCCCCACCCCTGCCCTGCTCCCGCCCCTTCCACTGGGCCTGCAGGTGGGGCAAGTGGGACCAGTAAGTACCGTCCCCGCCGCACCCACTCGCCCCTATGGCCGCCCCGGCTTCTCCTTCTCTGACGGAAACTGCTACTGCCCACCTCCTTGCCGGGCCAGCTGCGAGCACGCAGCCTCCCTGCGCCCGAGGACTCGCCGCCGCTCCTTCCACACGCGCCTGCCCACCCAGGTCAGCATGGCTCCACCCTCGGCCTCCCGGCAGTCTCGCTCCCAGGCTGCTTTCTGTCTGAGGTCCACCCTGACCGCCCTCTCCATTTCTACCCCCCCCCTGCACTAAGCACTTTTCCGTACACAGTGGTGAGGAGGAGGATGGCCCAAGACATCCGTGGCCCGATCGCCAGAACCGTGGGTCTGTGACCTTACCTGCAGAAGGGACTTTGTAGTTGTGAGTAAATTAGGCACGTGGAGATGGAAAAACGACCCTAGATTATCCAGGCAGGTCCAGTGTCATCGTAAAGATCCCAGGAGACTCGGAGGCGAGACTACAGAGCCCAGAGCCTCAGGTGGCGGAGGCAAGGGGAGGGGACAGCCACCAAGGCGCGCAGGCACCTCTGGAGGCTGCAAAAGACAGACAATGGATTCTCCCCCACACCCTCCAGAAAGGAAGTAGCCTTGACTACCACCTCCTTGACTTTAGGACCCCCGGACCCCAGATGTGTAAGAGAATACCCGTGTTACTCCAGGCCACCAAGTTGGTGACAAGTTGTGATGGCAGCAGGAGACGCACACGTGCTGCATACGCTGCCCTACTTTATTCCGTGCACTGTGGCTCCCCCGCGGGGCGGGGCAGGGGCTCTGCCTGTGTTCCCCCTGCTCGCCCTGCACCGCTCAACGCAGCACCCAGTCCCGGCTGCACGCAGATTCACTGAACGGCTTTTCTAACCCCGGCATGGGCCGATGTCTCTGCCCAGAGCGCCCCCCCTTCCCCGGCACTGGCACCTGGCCCCCCTCCGGCCCAGCACCAGGACCAGTGTGTGGCCTTGGCCTCTGACACGGTCTCTTGTCAGCCTGTGCTCTGCCTGAGGACCGGGACCACAGCCGACCCTCTCCAGCCTCCCAGCCAAGGGCCTGGCCCACAGCAGGGCTGGGGTACGGTCCCTCTCTGCGGACCTGGAATTTTCTCTGGCCATCTTCCCTCTCGTGCTCCCACACGAGACGTGGTATTCTTAGGCACACCCATGTTCAAGTGCGCCCTCCCTTAGGAAGACTCCCCCTGACTGCTCCTCTTCTCAAAGCTCCTACAGGGCCACTCTGTCCATCCTGGAATCTTCTAGAAGAGCCAGCCTGCTCAAAACTCCCTCTCAGCCAGAGCCTACTGCCAGGGGGGGCTTCCTCATTCATTCCCCCTGGCTCTGGGCCAGAACTCTCTCTGTGCCCTTCCTCCTGGCCACCCTCCTCCCAGGCACCCTGACCTCTGTAGCTGGACACCACCATCCAAGCCGATGCCCCACCTTGGACTCTGAGCTCCGGCTCCAGCCCTCAAACATCTCTGTTGGCGACCTGCTGCCTCCCTGCCGGCTGCCGGTTCTGACCTGTGGCCCCAGTCCCGTTAAAACCTTAAGCCCCTGCCCCACACAGGTTGGGAGCATCCAACCTCCTCCAGAAGCCAGGAGCAAGACTGGGCCGGCTCGTGGTGAGTCTGTGTCCACAGACACACCACCTAACCCTCTGAGCCTCAGTTTCCTCATCTGTAAAGTGAAGAGGTAAAGATGCCCACCGTCAGGCTGTGGTCTTTAGCACCCAAGAGGCTAAGAGGCAGCCTCTAGAGGAGACCAAGGGTAGGCAAGGCCTCAAGGAAGGGTCTGGACTAGGGTATACGGGGCCTGCCTGCCGACCCAGGAGGCTGAAGGTCGGATGGTTGTGTGTATCCTGTGGACACGGAAACACGTTTATACCTGAGCACGTCCCAGTGCCTTGCACATAGTAGGCGCTCGGCAAACGTGGTCAAATGACACATATATTTCCTTGACTTTAAAATGCAGTTGGGTGGGATGCACCTTCAACTGGATAACAGCTCTTCAGGAAGAAATGAGCCCCCCGCCGCGGTACCAGACATACTCTCCTGTTACAAGCTGTGCAGGCATCCCAGAAAGGTGGCCGTGAGACAAATGAGCATCTCTGAGCAGAATTCACGCGGAGATCACGAAGCGCCTTTCTGGCTGGTGGCCCTGGGGAGATTGCGTTCTCTGCAGAGCGGGGGACCCTGATGCAATTCAAGCCTCTTTAGCCGGGCTTAGCCAGGCCCCAGAAAGGCGGCAGAGCGCACGCCCCCAGCCCCCGCGGGCCTGGGATGGGAGCTCATCACGAAAACTTAGGGTTCTGGCTTCTGAGGCTAACGGAGAGCGCCACCTCGTGGCTTCAGTCGGCAGTGCAGGGGCCGGGCGCCACGCCCCCTTGGGTGGGCCCTGGAGGGCCGCCCAGTCCCCCGCCCTGCCCAATCCCCGACCAAAGGCCCGCGGGGGCGGACCCCACTTAGGGCCGCGTGGCCAGGACCTTCCGCCTTAGCAACCCCGTTTTCTGCCCCTTATGGGGGAGGAGGCCGAGTCAGCTAACCCGGGTTTAGACGCCTTACCTGTTGTGTGACCGTGGAAAGGCCCTCCCCCTCTGTGTGCCTCAGTTTCCGTACTTTGCAGGATAGTGGTCGGGCCTCCTCCCTCCTCACCT